GGCCTCACTTCAACCGAGTTAGGGTTAATGGGGTTATGAAGGCTAGGTGTAAGTACTGTCGTAAATCCCTTGGTGGGGAAACAAGTAATGGAACTTCACACCTAAGAAGCCATATCAAAACATGTATCCAAAAGAGGATACATGATGGTTCTCAAAAAATACTTGGCCCTAACTATAAACCTGCTGGAAATCCTCAACTCTCTGCTTCTCAATACAATTATGAGGTTTCTAGGAAGGAACTTTGTTCAATGATTCTGGTCCATGAGTACCCCCTTAGCCTTTTTGATCATGTGGGTTTCAAACGTTTTTGCTGTTCTCTTCAACCTCAATTCGCTGTTCCTAGTAGAAACATTGTCAAAAAGGACATTTTGAGTTTGTTTGGTGTTGAAAGAGGTAAATATCAGACCATTATTGATGGTAATCTGGGGAGGGTTTCTGTTACAACTGATTTGTGGACTGCCAGAAATCAGAAAAGGGGTTATATGGCAGTAACTGGTCACTTCATTGATAACTCTTGGAAGCTGCGTAACATAATGCTGAGATTTATGTATGTTCCAGCCCCTCACACTAGTGAAAGGCTTGCTGATAGGTTGTTTGATTGTCTTTTGGATTGGAACATTGATGGTAAGTTGTCCTCAATCACATTGGACAACTGTACCACCAATGATTCCATGATTTTCCACATGAGAAATAAGCTTCCGAGCAGTGACTTGTTGCTTGATGGTAAATTGGTTCATATGAGGTGTTCTGCTCATATTCTGAATTTGATTGTAAGGGATGGTTTGGATGCAATCAAGGATGCTATAAATTTGATTAGGGAGAGTGTAGTTTACTGGAATTCTACACCTAAGAGGGTTCAAACCTTCTTCGAAGTTGCTAAGCAACTTAAGCTGTCTGTTGAGAGAAAATTAGTCCTTGATTGTCCAACTAGGTGGAATTCCACCTATCATATGCTATCTGTTGCTATTCCCTACAAGGATGTTTTCTTTCGTTTGAGTTTGAGAGACAATCATTACACATTAGTTCCTTCTAGTGAACAATGGGAATTTGCTTCTACAGTGATTGGGAAGCTGGAAATCTTTTCTGAGATCACTGAGTTGTTCTCTGGTTCCAAATATCCCACTGCCAATCTGTTTTTCCCCAAGATTTGTGATCTCAGACTTAAACTGAATGAGTGGGGTGTTGATCCCAATCCTGTGATTTTTGGAATGACTAGTCAAATGTCACTGAAGTTTGATAAGTATTGGGATGATATCCATCTTGTGCTTGCTGTATCGGTTGTTTTGGATCCTAGATATAAACTCCATGTGATTGAATACTATGCTGGAAAGTTTGGGAATACAGAAACTGATTTGGTTGCTGAGAATATCAAGCAAATGATATGTGGTTTGATTCGTGATTATCAAACCAAAGCTGAGAACAAATCTGGTTCTGAAACTGGAACTTCTTCTGGTTCTGGATCTGCCTCTGCCACTGAACTTGACTTTGAACTCTTTGTAAGTCAAAGGAAAAAGAGTAAGACTTCTTTGATTACAACTAAGTTGGATATGTATCTTGCTGAGGATATCATTCCTCGCACAGCAGAGTTTGATCTGCTCTTGTGGTGGAAATTGAATGGTTTGAAGTATCCAACCTTTCAATCAATTGCAAGGGACTTTCTGGCAATCCCTATTACTTCTGTGCCTTCTGAGAGTGCATTTAGTTCTGGTGGGAGGTTGTTAGACCCTCACCGGAGCAGGCTGCATTATTCGACTGTGGAGGCAATGATGTGTACTAGGAGTTGGATAATGGAGGACATGCAACGAGGTAACATGCAACTAAAACTCTCAAGTTTATTGTTTTACGTTTTAACAACAGTATGAACTCATTGAACTGGTTCTCTGCAGATTCGGAGGCTGCTGTGGAGGCATTGGATGGACTCTTCTCAACAATGACAGTCGAAGATACAACTGTGGAAGAGGCAGAACCTGGTGGTAAGATCAATAGATCATTTTTCCATTGTGTGTTCTAATTTCTATTAGTTCATTTAGGAATACTTACCTTTGCATTGTTTCGCTTTTTCAGATCCAGAACTCACCTTAATGAGATCACCATTTGCCCATGAAGACTGATTGGTAATCTGCTGTGGGACCAAGGTAAAGGTCTTCTTTATTTGTTGTCGTTGATGCAGACGTGTTATTCATTGGACATTTACTAACTGATTCATTCCTCTTGTATGTTCTTTACACAGTTTCAATTGATGTCTGCTAGACTGCTGGTTTACATCGATTGGAATGAGGGTCAGGGGTGGTCGGGTGGATGATTGCAGATTGCTCAATGATTCGATGTTGCTGGAACCTAGATGGAATGTTGCTGCCCTGCTGTTGCTTGGAACACATTTCATTCTACAGTTTTTTCTTAAGAATTAGACATTTAGACTTTAGAGTCGGCTGATACTTTTTGGTTGTTTGGTTGATTTGATAATTTCTATCACAAACATGAAATAAATGTTTGTTTTTGGTTGTTGTTGTTGAACTGCTGGCGTAGTGGCATCAATTGCAGCTTGGCAAGCTTTCTGTTTTTCATTTCAAGTCCTTTTGAGTCTTTGACAGATCAGTTATTAAGAATAAAGTGATAAGAGTCCAGTTTTCCAGAATTTTTATGTCATTTTCAATTTTCTTTTCATGAGTTAGCGGGTATAATGGACCCGCGGGCACCCGAATACCCATTGGGTTTTGAGATGGTTGCCCAACATGCCCCGAATGTCCGTTTGGGCCGGGGACGGGGATACCCGAGGCCCATGGTGGGTGGGCAACGGATCCGGGGTACCCGGCCCCGATCCGCCCCGTTGCCATCTCTAATGTTCAGTCACTAGAAAAATTTAATGTCAATTTTGGTCACTCAAATTATTGGAACAGTGTCACATTTAGTCATTCGATTCTAAAAACATAATGAACAAGTCCAAATCATTTTCTTCTACTAGCCCTTACAAATGTGACATTTATCACATTTACTCTTACAAATGCAATGAATGTATGATCCAAATCATTTTCTTCTACTAGCCCTTACAGGGTCAAGCTGCGGAAAACATGCGTCATACACCCGCATGATCGACCCGCGACAAGGTTCATGTGTTGGGGATGCACGACGTTTTTTCCTTTAGTTTGTGAAATGAGTCTTTTTTCCCCATCAACAACCCTATCCTTGGAATTCTAAGTTGAGCATTTCAAAATTGATGTTATATGAGTGTGTTTGAATTTTCATCCCAGTACAAACTTAAATGTTCTTACCTATATGGTAGATGAGATTTGATATAATTTATAAATGTATCAACAATACAATCACATTATCATATATTCGGACTAAAGTGATTGGACCATTAATTCTCAACCCGCCCACTCAACCAAACCACCGGGTTAAACGGGGCTGGCAACCTTGATCTAGGTCAAGAAGCGGGTCGGTTTTTCCATTAGAACCCAGTGGTTGTCAAACCGATTTATACCGTTCTGCCGGTTTAGCAAGTGGAATGATATGACCAGTGGTAATAATTTTAAATTGTTAGGCCCTTAGACGCAACCAACAAGCTATTGTTGAGCCTTAGAATATGAAGTTTAGCTTCAAGTATCGAAGCTTAGATCCAAAGGGAATAGAGCGACTTCACATCCGCTGGACGGGGATGATATTGTGTAGCACTATTGCACATGCAAACAATTTATAAGTTAGTTTCAGTTTATACGAAATTTTCAGAATGATCGAAAAGTATACACGTAATTTCCAGAATTCTCCAGGGGGGGGGGGTCCCCAGAGAAACTACCTGTGTGTAGCATTCAAGGTTCCAAAACATAATCAGTAAGCTATTCAACACCACAAAACACATTCAATCGGTAGCATTCACTCCCATAAGCAATCATCAACGCCTTACATTCATAATCAAGGGAGGCTACTAATGATTCATGTCATATTCATCATGAACTTTTAAGGCATGCAATGCATTCCCCTCACAATTAAGAGACACGTTGTCCTCAATGTGGGAGCTAAAGGTAAGGTTCCAGAAGCGTTACCATAGGTGTTTGTGGGTTGAGTAGAGTGCACAAGTGTAGTTCTTCATTGATCTATAGAATTAACATTTAAGCATACACATAAGAGAGGAAGAATGGGTTATCCATAAACAAAATATAAAAACTAATCTACCACAAACACATATTTTATTAAACATACTAAGTATTTAAAAAGGAAAAGATGTAAAAGATAGAAATCGGCCGCTAGATGCCAAGATGCCTATGATGTATGGTTGGACCAAATGGTATTTTCAAATCAGAGATTCTTTCTTGTGAAGATAGTCCATCATAGCTCGTAGTCGCCTCCATTGGTTGCTTTGTTGTGCTTGTTTTGGATGCTCCTCGATTTGAGGTTATGGTACTTCTCTTGGAAATTGTCGTTCTTCTCATCGTGGGTGGTTCCAGTTTCTTCGTTGTTGTGGGCTAAGAGAACTAGCACTCTCACCCTCGGTTGGATCACCATTCGATGAGAAAAATCACAAAATATGTTCAAACAAACCATTAGGCAACTCACTGATCAATTGAACAACAAAATCAATCCTTAGGTTCACTCTATACACCCCCACACTTAAGTGTTACAATGTAGAAACTAGAGATGCATAGGATTAAATGCACGTTATAATGAATAGATGCAAGTCTTTCAAGAGGTCGAGGTCTAGATGCATGAACACAAGGGTGCCAAGTCTTTCAAGAGGTTTCTAAACCCCGGCTGAAGGTTTGAATAAACTCATTAGACAACAACTAAAGCTTGAGCTCTTGCCTCTATAAGCATAACGAAGCATAAAATCAAACGTGAGCCAAAATTTTAAACTCAAGGGGCATGTATCAAAGATTCAATTCTAAGTCATAAACACACTCCTAAGGGTCTATCTTAATCAAACAAGTTCAATTGATACGCAATGGATCAAGAAAAACAAGTTTTATGTGGTTTGGGCATTTCATCGAGCACTTGGTGGGCAACATTCAAACTCCACAAATTCATTAAAATAAAGCCCATCAAGGCCTCCAAAAACAAATACACAATTATAAGAGCGTACATTCTATGATCCTATTATGCTAGCCATGCCATTCTATTACCCCAAGTAGCTTAAGTGGTAGGCTAGCACACTTACTTAACAACATTAGCAACCATTCCTAAAGTAACTATCTAGTCTCCAAATAATCTTTCATTCTATTCTTGACATAGAAGGGATTCATTCACTAGATAACACTATAAAAACTACTTAAAGCAAAATCAAACGTGCAAGTTTTATTTTTGAAAAGTAAGGAAATGCAAACCGGTTGTTGGGGTACCTCCCAACTAGTGCGTCTTTCAAGTTTTATCGCCGGACGAATATCTTCAAGTATTCGGTCCAACTTAGAGACTCCTTGAAGTTGAGGTTCTCATCGGTGAGGTGGTTTCTCAAGTCACGAGCTTTGAACGAGTCCATGTTTGAGGGCTCGTGAGCTTGAGTGGTCTTGAGGCTCCACCCACGAGACCTCTCCTTCTTTCTTTCATTCTTCTCTCTTTGCCCCACACCATGTAGTGCAACAATGATTGACTTCCATTACATCCACCAAGAGGGATCACCGACGGTTTGGCCTTGGCTTGGCAAAGAGTCACAAATGGATCCTTCTCCAAAACTACATCGAGGTCGGGTGGAAAAACTTCATAGTACTTGTAACTTGTAGATGTTTCATCCACCTTAGCATCGTCCTCATCTTGGACACCATTTGCACTTTCAAATTCATCTTCAACCTGTCTTCCTTCTTCAAAAATGTGTTTCTCCAATGATAGGATATGATTGTGAGCAAGTCGTGCACATGCTTGCTCGACAATCTCTCCTAGTCTCTCCATTTTTCGGAGGATCTCTTCCGATGTTCGTAGTAAGGATGAGTCGATAGGGGTGGTGGTCGAGGATTCCACATCAGAGCGTGATTCGGTGAACCACTCCATCATGAGCTCCAGTTGGCTCTTTGGTTCTTGTGTAGTGTAGCAAGGTTGTTCTACACCAGAGGATGCTCCCTCGGAACCCCAGGCTAATCGCTCCATCAAGAGTTCCAATTCGCTTCTTGTCTCCAGTTGGGGAAGGAAGTCTTCTTGGAATGGGGAAGCCTCTTCATATCCCCATTGGTATGCTTCTTCTTCTTGGAAGGGGGATGATCATAGAAACCAGTTCCTTGGCTTCCACTCTCTTGATTACTCCATGAAGCTCCGGGGTACCCCCATTCGGGTGGTTGTGGATACCCCCACATGTGGTATAAGCTATTGGGATCCATGATTCAACCAACACTAACAAAAACAATAAAAAGAAAACCAAACACACTCAAAACACCCTTCGAGGAGAAGAGTTGGTGAAAAACAAAACACAAAAAGAAAATGTACTATGTAATGCTACTACTAATATAAACAAGAAAATAAAGACTAAACTAACAACTAACACTTTCAACTAGTTAAGTAACTCCCCGATAATGACGTCAAAACATTGATGGGTGCGAGCTTTAAATTTATAAGTCTAAGCGCACTCACTTGTCAACCCTAATAAGGCCAAGTACGACCTAGTTAGGGATGTAGTAAAGCGGCTCGATCGTATTCCAAGGATCACCGTATACTAGGCTACTTAGGCTCGATCGTTATCTAGTCAACCTATTTTTTAGTAGGTGGGCAGTTGACGATTCCTAAAATAAAGATCGATAGATGAGAATAGGTACTCGGGGAACTATCCCTTACCCTATCCTAGATCTACTATGCAATATCTAGATAAGTAGGGTTTGTCGAATGTGGTGAGTGAGCATTTTTCCTTGGGCTTTCATTGTTTACCACACGCCTCGCCGAAACCCATGTCAGTCACCTCGATCTATGCTATCGTAGCTGGGGCATTAAGAACGTAGCTCCTTTCAATGGGTACTACACTACTACCCACCGTCCACACCGACGTTTCATCCCGGGGTCTATCTTGGAAGGCATTACTATGGCAGGGGTTTGGTCGCCCCGTCCGTCATAGGATTCTATTCATACATCTAACCTCAATTTGATTGATGACACATACCCCTCTAACCCTAAAACTCCATACCCAGCGTAAAAGCTCAAGTAGGCTAGTAGAGAAGATTAGGGAGACTTACCCAAACACAATCAAAGCTAGAAAAGTATTCAAATCAACTAGATAATCACATGCATTCATTAAAACCCTAACATATCCGCTGCAGAATAGTCATCCCTAAAAGAAGCTTGGAGTTTAGAACCCTAAAACTAGGGTTTGGGGTTTAGAACCCCTAGTACCTTGGAGATCGCCCCATGAAGGGGGAAGAAAAGACATAAAAAGAGGGGAAGAAATCATGAAGCAAGGGGTATTCAAGTGATAGAAGTCCTCCTCCACTTCTTCTCCCTCCTTAAGCTTCTCTCTCTAATCCCTCTCTAAAATAAGAAATCTGCCAAAAGCCATCTTCTAAAGGTGGAGGAGTGCCCAATCTATAGAGTTTTGCAGACACAAGAAAGTTCATGGGCAAGGGGCTGAAGATCGCGCCCACGAACTTGAGGCTGCGATCTTCAGGTCAAGTTCGCGGGCGAGAGGCAGAAGATCGGGATCGGGATCTTTGTGCTAGAGGTTGGGATCTTTGAGGGTCACCATTTTGGAATTGCTAAATGAGGAGTTCGCGGCCTAACATCCCTGGTGTCACGGTCGTGATCTTTATCACGGGCACGGAAGCCGTGGACCATGTTTCGACTAGGCAAACCTTTTGCTTCTCTCGAGTTGGCCTCTTTTGAAGTTCACACCCTTGGCTCCAAAGTTCGCGGACGTGAACTCGAGGCTTCAAACTTCAAGTCAAGTTCACGGGCTAGAGGCAAACGATTGCGGCCATGATCTTTACACTGCAGGCTGCGATCTTGTGCTCTGGTTCATCCTATCTCTTCATGGCTGGGATCTTGTGCCCCTTTTCTACACGTGTGCACCTTTTTCGTACCTAATTGACATGTATCGTCTAAAGCAACCTAAAATCACATCATGATCAAATATGAATATAATAGAGATACAATCGATGCTATTCTAACGATTATGAACACGAATTGGTACGAAACAAACCTAAATATGTAGGACAAATAACATCAATTTGGGTGTTATGAATAAGCTTTGGGGGGGGGGGGAAGGTTGAAGACATGTTTGACTAATTTATGTTTTGTTCAAGTAGTCAAGGCATATGCTCATCCCTTAATGTCGATGTATGTTCCCTCTATGGACTGGTGCAGGTACTTCTTCCAAGTTTTTTTTTGGCATTTTTCTTTGATCTTTTGCATGGTTATTTGAATAGTAATTGTCTCTTGCATTATGTTGAAAATTTTAAGCATTGTACACATGAGAGTTCATTGAAAATTGATTAGATTCTTGTGTTTACTATTATCTTCGTTCTTTGTTTTTGATCGCTTAGAATTTGCGGTCATTAGCTTGATGTTAATTTTCCTTTTCCATCATTCTATCTTTCACTTTTACTTTGGGTTCTGAAATACCTTCACAATGTGTTTGGCTCTAAAGGTTTGAACCTAAAGTATTTTCATCCTTCCTATACTACTAAGCTAACACTTTTTGGTAATCTATTCTTCTAATAGTTATGACAAAGGTGCCTACTTTTTCATACCTTCTTATGTTATGAGGGTTCATGGTTCGAAAGAACAGCAGCAAGTGCTTAAGAGGACTTCAAGGGAAAAATTAGATCATGTTTATGAGGTTTGGAACACAATTCATGTTCTTTAGTGAAATAATGATTGTATAATAATGCTTCCTGTCATGCTTCTCTCATATAATGAGCGACCCTCTTTATGATGAAATTACTCCATTATCATATTGAATCATACCCTTAATACTTTGGGAAACACCAAATGGAGGATAAACAAGAAGGTGCTAGCTGTAGTGGACAGAATATGGGCAAGTGGAGGCCGTATTGCAGGCTTGGTTGATCGTGAAGATGTCAGTTTCATTTTTTCTGCAAATGATTATGGTTTATTATTCAGCCAGTTATTTTACTTCCGTATACAATATTTTTTTCAACAGAACAATTGATGCCTTGAAAAATGTTATCGGTGGGATATTTGTCCTATTCCGTTATTTCATTCTTTTCATTGTTTCGGTTCTCCTCCTTGTGTTATATATGATATCTTAGTTACTCATTAGAGTATCTATTAATATTCAACAGATTCCTCTTCTTGAGAAGCTAGAAACAGAAGATGAGCAAGAAATGCGAAGATAGAAGTGGAAAGTAAAAAATATGAAAAAGAGAATAGTGAGAGGCATTCACAACGATGTGATATAGAGTTTAAACTTGTTGTAAGATGCTTATTTTATTTAAATTAGCATGTCATGTAGCATGTGTATGTTGTGGTATGTCAGACATCATCTAATGAGTGTTTTGTATTCAAACTTTTGAGCAGGTGGCTAGAAAAAATAAGGGCGAGTAACTACTACCCACACAACCTTGTGTTCAGAGGACGTGCATATTCCACCATCCACTTTTGAACCATCTTGGCTCTGATCTATGTCGGGGTATCTTGGAGTTCGCTGATGGGCGACCTCTTGGAAAGTCTGGCCTACAGTGGCTGAAGATACATTTGGCAAATTTGTATGCTAGTGGGGTTGATAAGTTATCTTATGACTTAAGGATTGCATTTACTGAGAAACATATGAAAGATATTATTGACTCTGCTGAGCAACCTCTTGAAGAAAGGAGGCGGTGGTTAAATGCAGAAGATCCATTTTAGTGCTTAGCAGCATGTGTTAATCTCGCAGAAGCATTGAGCAGAGCCTCTCCAGAGATGACCTTACCACACATGCATGTCCATCAGGTACTAACTACTTCACTTCCTACTCATAGCTTTTAGTCCCTCGAATTTGTGGAAGCTTAATAGTGGAGTGTCATTATTGTATCGATGGTGCCTCACATATGATTATATTCCATCTATTAGTGATGAAGCCATGTTTGTAAATATGCTGTTTAGCTCTAATTTCTTAGGTTTTCTTGTTCAAGGATGGCTCTTGTAATGGTTTACAACATTATGCTGCTCTTGGAAGGGACAAGGTAACCACTGATCATTCGGCTTTGAATTAAAAAATATGCATAAGCAAACTCTACATGTAATATCCATTTTCCTTTTTTTCTCTCCACTTTTGGTTTCTGACTTCTCTCATTTTTGGTCCATCAGCTAGGAGTCGTTGCAATAAATCTAGTTGCAGGTAACAAACCCGTGGATGTTTACTCAGAAATCGCTACTAGGTAGGTTACACTTTTATTGTGTTGTTCTTTCTCATCATATTCATTATGAAGGTAGATAGTAAATAACTCTTTAATCTGGCAGTCTGGCATGCCCTTTTTGTGATTGCCTTTTAGCTCACTCCAAATACTACGAGTTTCACATGATTAACATAACTTTTGAGGTAGTTGGTCTAAAACTAAGACCAAAGTTATCCTTGTCCAAGTCATGTTTTGACAACCTTGTGGTCACATTTGTACTTTGCAAGGATCCTTCTTGGTTTCTTCTGTAGTATCATCCTCTCGACCGTTCGTTGATAGTCTGTCATTATCTAGTGTGTAACTAAGTGTTTAATTTTGTTAGACCGTCTAATCCTATTGTTTTTTAATGTAGAGTTCTTGAAATTATGCGAATAGATGCAAAGAAAGATCCAACATCTAATTCGAATGCATTGCATGCCAAATTTTTGATTGATCGGGTTAGTTTCCTTCATTATTGTTTGCTTTGAAAATTTATTCTGCTGAATTGGGTTTGTGAAGCATGGGACTCAATAGTGTCACTCTAGACCAATTTGTCTTTGTTTTCCGAACTTAAGTCTTTACAATTCAAATGACAGGTTGACCGAAAATTGATTAAACAAATAGTGATGACATCAATGTATGATGTCACCTACATTGGTGCTCGTGACCAGATAAAGAAAAGGTTAAAATAGCATGGTGCAATAGATGATGGGCTTCTATATCCTGCATCTTGTTATGAATAGTACAAGTTAGTGTGTGATTTTTTTTAAGAAAGCGAATGATTGTGATGACTAGGTGATCACTCAATTTAATGGCCTTTTTAGGGTTGACATGATCCTTAAAATATTTGAGATGTGGGAAATTACTAAAGTAACTACAGAAGCTGTTGGTGTTTTGTGGAAGTGATGGGGTATTAGAGAAAATGTAGAGACGATAAAGTAAAGTGAGAGCCACATCACTTTAAAGGTAGATTTTAATGTAAAAGTTAGAATTTGGTTATTTGATCAATCGTAGAATCCAAAAGGTCCAAACTAGTTGAATCACGTGGAGTAAAGTGTCAGAAATGAAGTGTGTACTTCTTCGTTTACTTTTCAAGGGGTCATTTCTATAGTTTGACAAGGAAATAGGTTTCTTCACACCTTTCGCGAGATTGAACTTGAGTTTTGCGAGAACATTTTCTATTTAACATTTGGAATGACAAGCAGATGCTTATTTATACTC